ATTTTATGTTTGTTAGGTATTTGTGTGTGTTAAATTTTATAAGCCAATAAAGATTTATAAATAAAAAAAAATTATTACATTAAATTTAAATACTACATTGCAGCAATGAAAATGCATTTCATGTGGCACTGACTGCAGCATATCTCCTTATTCACTCCCTGCAGCTCTCTGTGCTGTTAAAATGATTGCAAAGCTCAAGAATGCTCAAATCATCTAACACTGGAGTAGAGTACCCATGCCAACTCCACCCTACAATAACAGCTCTAATTATTAAGAAAGAAGGAGATACACACATCTGTTGAGGTCACTGTCAGCACTCGATCCAGGTCTTCTACCAGCTGCTTAAAAGTTGGCCGCTGTGAAGGCACTGCGTGCCAGCATTCCCTCATAATCATGTACCTGAGGAAGAGAAGGAGCTGATCAGTACAACTGATAAAGGACGGGAAAACACACAAGCTTTAATCAGCACATTTGAGAATTGGCTGGCGTTTTGTTTACTGTCCATGTTTTCTACAGTTACATTCGTTAAAAAAAAAAAAAGCAAGGCTTTGAAGTTAAGTTAGAGGAAAGACCCATACAATAATATTTATTTATTAGATTTATATCCCATCTTTTTTGCAGAAAAGCTCAAGGCAGCATACATATTGCTCCCTCCTCTTGTTCTTCCTCACAGCAAAAATCATGTGAGGTGGGTTGGAGTAAGAGAGAGAAGAGAGAGAGAGAGAGAGAGGGGAGAGAGGAGAGAGACTGGTCCAAAGTCAGTCAGGGAGCTTCTGTGGCTGAAGGTGGACAAGAACCTGGGCCTCCTCACTCTTAGCCCAGCACTCCCCCATTACCCCTCACTGCCGCTGGGCTGAGATGGAGGGATAGTCCCAGGGTCCTCCATGAGAAAGGATGGACTTGAACCTGGGTCTCCCCACTTCTACTCCAGCGCCTTCATTACTACGCCACACCAAACAATACTCCCAGGAGATAGGAGATGATCAAGATGACCTTACAGAAGCACTTCCAACTCTCTAATTCTTGAATTTGAAATCTCACGGAGTAAAGGTGTTCTGAGGCAATATCTTTTTATACCTGAGAAAAGCCAACTTGAAGAGTGGAGAGGATCCACTCTTCCATCGTTCTCCACAGAAAATCTGGCGTGTGCTACAGGTCGCCTAGAAACCTGACAGAAAACTGCTGGCAGTTCTAATGGGATGCATCATCATGTAGCTGTAGAGCCAGAATAGTCTCTATATTAGAGGGGACATGTTTGGGATAAAACTGGGCTTTGACTGTGCTGTGTCGAAACTGACCTGCACTGAATCTTTCTCATTAGCAGCAATGCTGAAGATGGAATAAATTCAATAAGAGGGACAGATCTGAAAAGTCATGTACCAGAGCAAATGTGTACAAGTTACACATACATGGCAAAAATGAGAGCAAGCAGATGAGTTTGTGTACCTTGCTAGAATATTTATTAAATGTATGGAGAAGTTTTAAGATGTGCAAATAGTAGCACATCAGCAGTGGGTGGCCTGTGGCAAAGAATGAATGCTGAAAGGAAGGAAAATGGCTTGTCATGCCTGGTCTAGGAAGAGGACAACGGCTAGTCCGGGGCTTGCCTTTGTGGAGAGGCAGTTTTGGAGACCAGGGGAAAGTGCTAAAGCATCCATAGACCATCATGTAGATCTTGGCATAAAGCCAAAGGAACCTCTAGAACATGCATGACTTAGGTGAGGACCTGCATTTTTGACCCTGTTTGTTTATATCACTGTTGGATGTTTGTCTTTTGCATGCTAATGGCAGTAGTATTGAGAGTTTTGACAGATTCATTTTCTAGCTGTTCATTAAAGGTCCATCAGAAAAAGGACTCTCACGTTTCTCAAAGTTGCATACAAAAATGGGGAATTATGTTTTAGGGAAGGAGAACATACAACATACACTGTAGGTACTTGGCCTTTCTCAGTCCCTTTCCCCACTTTGCCACTGTACTTGCCTTCTCTAGCACATACTGAGATTCCCATTATGTTCTCTCTCCAAGTAGAGATGGAGAACAAATCAGTAAAACAGATGTTTGTTTCAGGAATCACCCCCCCACAACCAAATTGGAAGGCTCGCCCTATTTATAGACAATGCAGTGGAATGGATTTACACATCCTTAGTTCTATCTGGAATGTCTGAAACTGTCTGGAAATGGAATGGTTGGTATTTTTGTGAGTGATGTTTTCAGCTTGTAGAGGAAAACTCCACCTTGGTCTACCTTGAGGAAGAAGAACTTGACACCTAAAGGAGCATTCATGAATTTAACTTCACTTGTTGCGCTACAGATTGAGGTTACTGACAGGCAAAGACCAACATGACCTGGTGTTCATCAAATACTATGTTCTTTTGATCAAGAGTGTTTATCCACATCTTGGCAAATTATATATTTTTAATTTTTTTTTTTATTAGCAGGGAATCCTGTTGCTTTACTGAGTTTGGGTTTGTTAGCAGGGAATCCTGTTGCTTTACTGAGCCCACTGGGTTAGCTTATCCACAGATGGGCTTATTTGTGAGTATATATGGGATATATGTGTGCTTAAAAAAAAAGTATTACCATATATATTCGTGGATAAGCCCATCCATGGATAAGCCAAACCCAATTTTTTGGTTTATTTTGGCACCTAAAATTCTCAGCTTATCCACAAGTATATATGGTATATCTTTCTATTGATAACCCGTCTGGTTATTTTTGTCAGTAGTTGAAATTAAGACGTAAAATGGACTAATGGGCTATAGAAGAACTTTAATTCTCACTGGTGCTAATAACTGCCGAGCCTCAGAGTTCAATGTTATGGCCTTCTCCCCTGATCAAGAGACCACAGCCTAAAAGGAGACATCACTGAGTATTTCCCCAAAGGTCTTCATCAGAAGAACATGCAGTCATTTCAGCTCTGGTTTCTCTCTTCCGTCCTTCTTGTCTACTATGTTGTGAGCCTTCATTCAGTCTTATCTTTTAATATGTATACTGTACTTAGGATAGTTGGGATTTTATAAGTGCCCAATAATAGCAACTATTGCCAACTGCATGTCCAACTGAATAGTCCTACTGAAAGGTATCATGAAGAGGAAAAAGGTATGCAGTCTTCTCGAGTGGTGAACTGTGCCATGATTGGTCATTGGAATGGACTTAAAGTGAAGTCAAATCAGCCAAGCTGAGAACATGTAACAGTAGTCCTGTCAAGGCAGCTGCTGAGAAATGCTAAACAGAAGAGTCCTTCTCTGCAGTTCATCTGGCCTGATGCAGGAGGGCTTTTCCTGGGTGACTTGGTCTTTCAACTAGGCATCTGAGTGAATAAACCCAATAGATTGATTTGACAGTTACTGTACTTTTACTGTCTGTATGCTTCCTAACACAAATGGGTACTTTTTAGAGGTTAAAGATAGTTATGAACAGAGAACATGGGGGTGAAGAAACTGAATTAACAAGAACTCATCCTGATAGACAGAAAAACATGCCTTCCCAAAGTATGGTATTCCCAGGTAGAAGACTTACAAATCTGGGGTACAATTTGCTGGCTTGTCCATACGATGGCCCTCCTTTAGCAGTTTGAAGAGTTCCTCAACTGGAATTCCTGGATATGGAGACCCCCCCAAAGTGAAGATCTCCCATAGCAGCACTCCAAACGACCATCTGAAAACCAAAGTTGAAAAATCCAATGAGATGTTGAAAAAGGAAATTAAGATGTATTTTTCCCCCTGTGAAGCCATACAAAGGTAACATGTCACCAGGAGCTTGAGGACTGAATTTCCTGGATCTTATTTTTTTAAACCAAATACTGGCAAATCTGTTGATACAGCTGAATAGAAGCCGAAATTTGAAATTAGATAAGCATTTATATAGATACAGCCCATCTCTTTGATCTTTGAGAAAGTCTCCACTAAGACCAATGAATGGAATAAGCCCATTTATTCATGGATTTCAGGATATCTTCCCTGCATGGCATTACAACTCTTTCATGAATAGACATTTTGTTCCTTTTATTTTAAAACTGTGGGTATTGCTTACACATCACTCTGATGAGTGTAGACACGGTCAAACAATGCTTCTGGAGCCATCCATTTCACAGGCAGCCGGCCCTGTAATTAGAGAGAGGAAAACAAAATATCTGTCAGCAATTTCTGCCATCCTGCTGTCACTCCATCTGATCCCCTCTGCTGTAAACTGGTCCAAATAATTTTTAATTATGACCAATCCAAATTCATCAAATCATTGTACACTGTAATGATGGCCATTACACTTATTATCTACTTGATCCACCATCCACAGTTAATGTATCTAATACAAACTTCTTCCTCTTAAGATAACCAGTCAAGATTCTCATCAATTGACTTATCTTCTTCCCATCTCTGTCTGTCTTCTGGTTTCCCCTCTTACCCAAACTGCAGCTCTTTTATTGTCCCTGACATGCATTGTAATGGCTTCACTTCACAAATAAAATGCAAGACAGAATCTTATCACAAAAATCAATTGACTATATTCAGACAAATTTAAGAATTGGTATAAAAAATTCCTCTTGTAAGAAGACAGAAAGGTTTACTGGGCAGAGCAGAAACACTCTCTGGGCTGCTGGATCCAGATCCAGCTGGAAATACTGTCACATCATGAGATTTCTTGCCTTAGGGTGAAAGCACAAGCAGATTTCAGCAGCATTTGGTAAGTTGTTTTACCTAATCTCACCAAAATCTGAGATACCTTTAACAAAATCTAAAATAAAAGGAGACAAGCTGAGGATTCCAGTGGACAATTTATCAATGACAAGCAATACTTTCCCTAAGAATAAGCAGTATTGTTTTAAAGGTTTTTGATTAATGACTAATAATCTATTTCTGTTCCAAGAAGCATCACAGAGGAATGGAACGTGAGCCTCACTGGGCCATAGCAATGCTAGGGAAAACTAGTTTTTTACAACCTTGGCATGTGATCAAAGACTGATAATCCTGATTCTTTTCTCTTCCTTTTGGCCAACCTCAACTCATTCTGCTTTAACAGGGCTTCATAACAGCAGCACTTTCGCACCCTTCTACAGCAGGCAAGTATTGTTCTTAGGGAATTTACTACGAAGTTTTCACCTACAACCTGCATAGGACTCAGCCTAAAGCTGTCCTGATCAAGTTGGCCATGCTTTAGCCAAACAGACGTTCACCAGCCCTTGAGAGCTGAAACTGTCTCGTGCCAGCACCCCATATTCCAGATTAATCCAGATCATGGACCCAGAAATCAAATCTTTCCTGTTTAGCATATGTACAAATGAGTCCCTATGCTTTCTTCTGGAAATTGGACAGTTTTGCATTTACATACATATGCACTATTTCTTGTATGAATATCTCAAGATACTGGATTCAGCTAGTTAATGAGTTTAAAATGTACTGGATTCCTTCAATATGTGTAGAAAGCTTTCCTTTCCTTTCTCTCAGTGAGAATGAATTACAAAAAGAAAGAAAGTATACATGTACAGTGGGGCAAAAAAGTATTTAGTCAGCCACCAATTGTGCAAGTTCTCCCACTTAAAAAGATGAGAGAGGCCTGTAATTTTTCTTTTTAAGCATTTTTCCAACTGAAAACAAGTCCTTTATTTACAGTGGGGCAAAAAAGTATTTAGTCAGCCACCAATTGTGCAAGTTCTCCCACTTAAAAAGATGAGAGAGGCCTGTAATTTGGTCTTTCAGCATGACAATGATCCCAAACACACCGCCCGGGCAACGAAGGAGTGGCTTCGTAAGAAGCATTTCAAGGTCCTGGAGTGGCCTAGCCAGTCTCCAGATCTCAACCCCATGGAAAACCTTTGGAGGGAGTTGAAAGTCCGTGTTGCCCAGCAACAGCCCCAAAACATCACTGCTCTAGAGGAGATCTGCATGGAGGAATGGGCCAAAATACCAGCAACAGTGTGTGAAAACCTTGTGAAGACTTACAGAAAACGTTTGACCTCTGTCATTGGTCTTTCAGCATGACAATGATCCCAAACACACCGCCCGGGCAACGAAGGAGTGGCTTCGTAAGAAGCATTTCAAGGTCCTGGAGTGGCCTAGCCAGTCTCCAGATCTCAACCCCATGGAAAACCTTTGGAGGGAGTTGAAAGTCCGTGTTGCCCAGCAACAGCCCCAAAACATCACTGCTCTAGAGGAGATCTGCATGGAGGAATGGGCCAAAATACCAGCAACAGTGTGTGAAAACCTTGTGAAGACTTACAGAAAACGTTTGACCTCTGTCATTGGTCTTTCAGCATGACAATGATCCCAAACACACCGCCCGGGCAACGAAGGAGTGGCTTCGTAAGAAGCATTTCAAGGTCCTGGAGTGGCCTAGCCAGTCTCCAGATCTCAACCCCATGGAAAACCTTTGGAGGGAGTTGAAAGTCCGTGTTGCCCAGCAACAGCCCCAAAACATCACTGCTCTAGAGGAGATCTGCATGGAGGAATGGGCCAAAATACCAGCAACAGTGTGTGAAAACCTTGTGAAGACTTACAGAAAACGTTTGACCTCTGTCATTATTACAGGCCTCTCTCATCTTTTTAAGTGGGAGAACTTGCACAATTGGTGGCTGACTAAATACTTTTTTGCCCCACTGTAAATAAAGGACTTGTTTTCAGTTGGAAAAATGCTTAAAAAGAATATAAAACCATTTTTGAGATATCCAACGTATCCTTCCTTGATATGGTGTTCCCCATGCTGGCTAGGAAATCTGGGAGTCACCATTCTAGCACATCTGGATGGCAAATGATCAGAACTGCCTCATTTTTTGGAAACTTTCCACTTACATTAGTTGTTTTTTTGTAATAATCAATGTTGTGAACATCTCTGGCTAGGCCAAAATCAGCTATCTTCATCACATTGTCTTCTGTGACCAGAACATTTCTAGCTGCCAGGTCCCGGTGAATACACTGCAAAGGGATAAGTAAATAGAAAAACATGGCTTAACATGTTGTTAAAAAGTTATAATGGACATTTGGAGTCAATAAGCAGCTATATTCTCCATTAAAAATTTGAGGGTTCTGTTTAATTCCTTGTACTTTGGGGTACAAATTGTTGCAGCAATGTTGAGATTTTCAATGTAGTAGCAGCTCTTTATTTGCCCTTAAAGGTACATCCTAGATGTTACTACAAAACAACAGGAATTGGAAGTAAAGGGGAAGTATAAAATTACATCATTATTTGCTGCTGCTATCCTAGCAGTTGCCCAGATTTTTACACCCTAGGTTGGGTTGCCTAAATGTTAATGCCTATTAAGTGGGAATTAATCCATGCTAAGGAATCTTGACTGCACACTTCACTTGTGCTCTTTAATAAAATGTGTTAGTCAGAAAAGGTGTTACTAGACTCCTCCTGATTGTTTTAACACCATAGGCTAGCAATGACTCTTTTCCTACAATGCAGACTCCCACTCCTACCATGTCTACAACAAGAAACTGTAGTGCTTGAAAATCATTTCAGGGGTTCAGGGTGAGCCACAAAATCATGCAGAGGGAAGGACTGTCCCCAGAATTCTGGATGCTCTAGAAGATTATGAATTATGATGCTCTAGAAGATCATGAATATCTCTGCACAGGCCCATTAATGCTGTACGTGAACCCCCAAAACTATGATGAAGAGATAATGCACTAACCCTTGCTGTAGCAAAGTCAATAACTGCTGTACATTTTTGGTGATCAAAGTGTATCTCATTCATTACCTTTTGCTTGTCTAGTAAGGTAGACAAGCATTCTTATTTGGTCTTCTTAATTCACAACAGTGGCAACGTTTTCAACTTAAGCATTTTTTGATGGCTCAACATGGGCCAGATGCTTCAGTCACTTCAGAGGTACCCAAACTGCTTTCTTATTTGGCAGAATCCAAGACTGAGACTAAACTACAACGTAACGCTATCAATATTTTTTAAGGTGAAATCACTGTGATTTAGGGACTATGGACTAAGAAATTGGAGGACCCCATAATGTCACATCAACGATCACAAGTCCTTAAGAATATCACTATGAACCGATTTGAGATTAAAATCGATCCATTAAAAAACTGTGTTTTGATTTTTTTGGATTCCTCATATATTTGAAAGGAGAGACATTAGATTTCCTTGTTGGAGAGATGTAAAAAAAATTGAGGGTTCATTGTCCCATATGATTTGATCCTGAGAATTACTGGATTTTTTTGGGAGGGGGAGGAATAACATTTTAATATGCAAGAAGATTTATAGGGAAATCCCTCAATGTAAAAGTTGTTAATATTATGCTGAATTATATTCCAAAACTCTGGAATCTGACTGTCTTTGAGGAATTATGCTTATGCTCAGACTGGGGAACTGCCAAAAGAATTATTTTGAGAAATAGGGAAAGTGTAATGTATCTGTTTTTTAAAAGGCAATTCTTTCCACTAAACAGAAAATGAAGCAATATGCTTCCCTTTGACCTAGTTTTCATGATATTTTACAACAATAGAGCAGTTTCATCATTTTTCCATTTAATAACAGAGTATTGTAAAGTATTTTTTGTAAACCAATGATTTTTTTGAGTTTTTTCTCTCTTTTGCTCTGTTTATATTTTTCTTATAATTAGTTGTTTTCTGTATTTTTATTGTTTATGTTTTATAATCTTGTTAATCTTTTAATTCAATTAATTAACACAAGGAACCCTCACTTGAAAATACTGTATTACAAAACTGTGGCACATGCAGATCCCACTTTGGTTACTAAACAGATCAAGAGGCCCAAGGTAGCTCCTGAACCAGCTAATCCAAAGATCTCACTAGGGAAAAACTCCAGACCTAAAGCTACTAATACCACTGAATCCATTAGCAGTCTTTCACTACCATTAAAGTTAAAACCTTTCTCCAGACTTTGTTCTTAACTTCAATATGAGGTAGCCCTTGACTTACAATGGCAATTGGAACCAGAATTTCCATCACTAAGCGATGTGGTCATAAACTGCGACTGCACTGCTTAGCGATGGCAATCCCTGCAGTTCTGGTTGCCATTGTTAACCGAATCCCACAGTGCCAGCCTCCCACAACCAAAGTCACTGGGGAAGCCAGCAGGAAATTGCAAGTCCCAGCTGGGCAGGCAGGGAAGTGGCTGCTGCCGGGTGTGGGAAGGAGCAAGACGGTGTGTGGGAGAGTGCACAAGGGAGGGACGGGGAGGGTGCGTGGAGGTGCGCAAGAGGTGCAGCGCAGGTTGGGAAGGATGCACAAGAGGTGCAGCACAGGTTGGGTGCATGAGAGAGGTGCGGGTCAGGCAGGGTGCATGGAGTGCACAAGAGGCACGGCACAGGTTGAGTGCTCAAGAGATGCGGGCTGGGGAGGATGAGTGAAGGTGTGAGGGGATGCGCGAGAGGCGTGTGGGTTGGGCAGGGTGCAAGGGGATGTGTGAGAGATGCAGCGGGGGTTGGGTGCATGGGGAAGTGTGGGGGTGCACAGTGAGGGTCAGCAAGGGTGCACGAGTGGCCAGCATGGCACGAGCACAGAGAGGCTTGGGGAGGACTTACCCTAGGATTTGCCACCTTCCCTGCTGGCTTCCCCACTGACTTTCTGGGGAAGCCAGCAGGGAAGGTTGCAAATGGCTATCATGTGATTGGGGGGTGCTGCAACTGGTCATAAGTGCAAACTGGTTGTCAAGTGCCCAGATTGGGATCATGTGATGGGGGGGTGCTAGGATGGTCAAAACTCCGAGGACCTGTTGTAACCACCATTCGTTCAGCACCGTTGTAACTTTGAATGGCTGCTAAATGAACGGTCACAGGTTGAAGATTAGCTGTATAGGGGCTATATCAACCTCAATAGGCTGTTCAATTTTGTTCAAGGCATCTAATCATGAAAGCACATAGGAACTGAGGCCTTAATTTTTCATGCTCTCTTCAAGATACAGAATATTTCTGATCTAGACATCCCATCCTTGCGTCCTTTCTCTCAGCTAACCAAAGGAATAAATATATCATCTTCAAATCAACTTTTAGCTGTTCCATCTCCACGATCTCTCCATGAACTATGTATGTTCCAATGCAAGCGAACTCACTTCCAAATTAATGTCACTTCAGCTTCTTACACTTCTTCTAGCCTATTTATCTCCTTTCCCAGCTGTTTGACCCAGTGTATAATGTTATTCCTGTTCCCTTAATACAAATTAGTATATTTGTTTCACATTATCATATAAACCATCTTTTTTTGGCTCTCAGTACAAGGTAGTCTTTGAAAGCTTAGGTTTTCCAAGTTCTTTGCTACTCACTTTTTGAGATGCCAGATACTCCATTCCACGCGCTACCTGGTAGGCACACGAGACTAAGTCTTTAAATGTTAGCTGTTCTTCAGGTAGCTTGCAGGTATCAAAGGAATAATCCATGCCAGGTAGCCGACAAGCTCTAAGGTATTCCCTTAAATTCCCCTTTGATGCATATTCCACAAGAACATAGAGAGGTCCTGGAGAAAACAATCAGTCATTGTTTGAAATGCACTTTCATATCTCTCCACGTTTTCTGCCAGCTTGCTACTTATTTTATGATTGGTATGTCCTTTCTTTCAGATTCTAGAAGAGAGGAACTTCAGTTCCAGGATAGATGCATTAACTTTAATACTGCAAAGAGGAGTTGCACCATAACAATTTAGCAAGTGTGTGTGTGTGGGGGGGGGGGAATGGTTCTGGGAATATCCTCAAACTACAGACATAAAAGCTCAAACTGGAAGAATCAGAATATCTTCCAACCATTTATCAGAAAGGAACCTATATGCCCACGTCAAGTCAAACTGGCATTCAATACAGTATTGATAAAGATATTTTTTTTCATAAATCTGAGCCAATGGATATTTACTGACTAATCAAAGCCCTACCTCTTCACAGTGGCCCTGTGGACGTCTCATCTGAAAGCCCACTTGCATGTTAAGCAGAGATGTCTGACCAAGATGCCTTCCTGAACACCCACTAAGCTTCTACTGGGTTCCAGTTCAGATAGTGGAAGGTTTGAGCTCACGTGGGAATTTCCACACATACAGTTCGACCTGTGAGGTTCCCTCATGGAGATGCTTCTCCAGATTAGATACCACCAGAGTGCTTTTGCAGAGGCAGAATTCACCTCAGCAGGAGAAAGCAGAAAGCAGGAACATGGAGGGAGAAGATATTGGGACTCTGCTTTTCAACTGGTTCACACAGAATCTTGCATTAGGTGCCATCAGAAAATTGATATTCCTTTGCTGATGACATCAATTTACATGGATTAGAATAAAAACAGGCATTGTAGAAGACTAAAATAATCTATTCAAAGTAGGAAAATGGGTATTAAAATGGCAATAGCAGTTCTATGTAAAGTGGTTGAAATCTAATGATGGGCTCTGAACTGACAGAGATTGCTTGGGCATCTGTAGTTAAATTCATGAGATCTGGTTCAGGCTGGTTGCAACACTGAAATGGTTCCAGAACGAGCAGCCTACAACTGCCAGAAACTGCTCTGTGCATTACAATAAAAGTAATCTTTATCATTTTATAAACTTTTTTTAAAGCATCAGTTCTTTCTTTGCGAAAACAGTGCAAAGCTGCATGGAATTCACTTCACTTCAATTTTTCCTTCTAGATAGCACATTAGTTGTTCTGCAAACACAGGTAAGTCAGAGAAAAAGTGTGCAAAAGAACACTGCTGCAGAAAAATGGGCTACTAGCCCCGTTTAAATAATTTAAATATTTCAATTGGTCCTTCATGGCAACTGAGGCATGAGAAAGAGTTACTTTTCTACACCAGCTCTAAACTCACAGACAAAAGCATTATTAGGCAATATTTAATAAAATACAGCCCCCCACCCCCGCAAAAAGAGTATTCATGACAGCATTGGTTCAATATGCATAAAAAGATCCAGGCTGAGCATGCACATGACTAACTTTATCAAGTTCCACAGCCACGTGCTTTAGAAACGTACCATCCTGTGTGCAGGCACCCAAGAGATTAATAATATTTTTGTGCTTCCCAATCATTTTCATCATTTCCATTTCTGAGACTAAGTCAGACAGATCTTTGTCTGTGGCATCATCTATGAGAGAGAGGAGAAAAGCAGCACTGAGAAAAAAGCATTTCTGTCCTATGCCACGCGTATCTAATTCTGCCTGGTGGTCTTTGCACCTTGATATTTTAGCTTGCAGGCTGATAGCACTCGCTGCTGCTTGCTTGTGATTCCACCCTATTTCTGGCTTTAGGGATCACTGGGTCTTCCCCCACCCTTCCTCCAACTTTGGATAACAAAGGATGTTTTCAAATATACAAATCTGCTATTCTGCACTGCAGAATTGCTGGTCCAAGTTCAGGTCCAGGCTAGGTCAGGGGAACTGTTCAGAATTTATTCAGGAATAAGGCCCCTTCTGCTTCAAAGATGGAGTGGGACAGAAGGCATGGCACTTATAAGCAAATGCTCCCTACTCCCGCTTCCTGTCTTAAACTGTGAAGAGCAGCAGTTTAAGAACTGAGAGGCAGAATCAAGGATGAATTCCCACAGCCTGTTGACTTGGTATGAAGGACAGGGGAGAGACCCCAAAAGCCTGAGATGTTGTATCTCAGAAGTCAGTCCATGGAGATGAAGCTTGAGAAGGGAACCAAGGCAGGGCTGGAAATCAGAAACGCAGAGGCAAGGCTCATGGGAAATCCCATCTCCTTGCATTTGGTGCTTTCAGTACCTTTCAGCATCTTGACAGCTACAGTAATAGGCTTGTTTGGTTTTTCCTTGTCAATCCCCATTGCTTCTGCCATCACTACTTGACCAAAGCAGCCTTCACCCAGTGGCTTCCCTAGAGTCAGGCTGAAAAGCAAACAAGTGAGAACGTGAGCATGGAAAACACCGTGATACCCGAAGAACAAAGAGGTGACCATCCCCAAGCAATGCCTGTATCCAGTTTCCTCACCGAGATCTTGCCAATTCCCACTTCGGGTCAGCTGGCAACTCAAGCTCAGAGACATTTGCCAGCATGGCTCCCTCACTGGAGGAAAGGCGGGTGATCCTGACCAGAGGAGTATTGGAATTCATGGAAGAGTTGGACTCCAAAGACACCTGCTTGAATAGAGCAAAGGAGGTGTTATTGCCATCAGCCTCTTAAGGTAGCACATGGATGTTGCAGAAGAGGTGGAAAAGGGGTGGTGAGCTTTTGTGAGCTGCAATGTAGGAGTTATTAAACCTTTACTGGAAACCACTGACTGTCTATCTTGTATTTTGTACTGTGGCATTCTTGTTAAGTAATCCAATTAATGTTTTTCAGAACTATGTATTTTGGTTTAAATGATCTAACTTCTAATTCCTGAGAGTTAACAGCGCTGCTCCTTTGGAATTCATTCCAATGAGAGAAGCACATCTATGATTTTGCATAACATTAGGCCTCCTCCTGGCAACAGTAATTATCTATGGAATAACTTGCTTGAGTGCCTAGATATTTCAAAAAGCAGACCCTTTTCTTTGAAATAAGAAAGAATATTGAGAAAATCTGGAGCTCCATTTGCCAGGACTTCCTTCACTTATATAACCTGCTATTTTCAGATTAGCATGCTATGTGACCAGCTGATTGTATTTCATTCAAGAAATTCACAGTTAAATAAGTCATGTTTAGTATGATGAGTGCACCAAATGAAACGATAACTAAACCCTGAACGGAGAAGAGGTAAGTGTTCCACACATTGCGCTTCAGACTCCTAAAAAACTGACAATTTCCTTTATTAGACAAATTCTACAACATTGCCCAAACCATTGTAATAAAGTAGGAATAAACACGCAATTTTCTTAATGGAAGGAAAGAAGATGTGGAATCCTTTAAGAATTAAGAGTTTTAAACTTGTTCATAAATTACTTGTTGTAGTAGTGGAAAGAACTACTGAAGCAGCACATGTGCAGGTACGGAGCTCTCGTGGATGAACAAAATCTCTGCCCAACAGCTACAGCTTTTCTGGAACTACAAGAGCTGAACTGGCCCCAAAGGTATGGTGAACACACACTGCATCTCACATACATAGCTTCAATAAACTGGACAGGGGTAAGCAATGACATTGGCAAAGTTGTGGATAACACCAAACTGTTCATGGTGGCAAAACTCAAAAGTGATTGCGAAGAGCTCCAGAAAGATCTTTACGGTGTTCAGCTCAATGGCAAATGAATGTAAGGTGATGCACACCGAGCCCCCCCACCCCATTTTTCTTATGTAATTACCGGATCAGAGCTGTTTGAAACTAGCTAGGAGAAAATCTCAAGGCCATTTTGTCAGTGCTCAGCAGCTGTGAAAAAAGCAATTCCGTGCTGGGGCTTGTCAAGAAAGGGACTTGAATATTAAATGGCCAACGCTGAAATGCCATTATAAATATAGGGCACACTTGCATCTAGAATACCATGTCCAGTACTGCTCCCCATATTTGAAAAAGATATGACAGGTAGAAAAAAAGAGATGTGGCAACCAAAATATCAGGGCTAGAATATTTGGGACTCTTTAGCATGGAAAAACAGCAGTTGAGGGGAAACATGCGTGACATGGAGAAAATGAATAGGGATTTTTTCCCCCTTCTCTTGTAATGTTAGAACCATTCAATGAAAACTGACTGGAAACAGATTTAGAGGAGGTCAAAGGAAGCACTTCTTCACACAATACTTAATTAACTTGTGGAAGTGATTACCACAAGATGATGGTTCCTAAAAGTTAGGCGAAACTCAAGGAGGACAGGTATATCAGTGGCTGTTGACTCTGAAGACTCAATATTATTTATTGTCATGGGGCAGCATGACAACACAGTAAGTTGCCTATTATTGCAGGCAAATAAAGGAGAGAGATATTTCCACCACTTGTCTGCAAGCACCCCAGAATCATCTGGTTGTCTATTGTGAAAAAAACAGTACTTGGTTTGATCCAAGAAGGCCTATTCTTATAATCTGAATGTTTCCCACTTCTTCCCCCAAACACAGGAATCACCAAGTTTGTTAAAAATAGTACTGACGTGATCCTTTCCTGGTACGCTCTTCCAAGAGAAAGCCTTCATGTTAATTTTGAGTTAAATCAGTGAAAACAGGTTCATTTGTGCCTTTTCTTACTGTAAAAAGAAGCAGTTTGGGAAGTGTGCTTTTAGTCTAGGTCTGTTTTATATTCCATGTTAATGTTAGATTGTGCAGAATCCAAGAGAGAGTCAGGATCCGTAAACCAGAATGTTGTAAGACGTTAAGGCCATCCTTTAAACAAAAGTTAAGTCTCCAGCAACAGCAGAGATCCACTGGAATAAATCCACATTCTCCAAAGCGTGACCTGACAACTTGCTTAGTCCTTCTCCAGATCTAAAAAAATAAGGAGGACAAGGAGAGGGTAGAGATATAGGGAAACCGTGATCTTGTATCTACTTTCTGTTACCTGTCTCTTGAGAGGGAACTTGGAGACCTTCTGAACTGTGGTGGTGTTCATAGCTTTTTTGGCTGGCCTTTTAATTCTATAAATCACCACTATCACTGCCACCAGGATGGAAAGCACGAAGGCGATCCCATAGCTGAGGATGCCTGCATAAAATGAGCTGGAATCATCTCTCGCAACTCGTTTTTCTGCTGGAGAGGGAGAGATGCATGTTAGGAACCAGAAGAATGGCAGCCCGATCCTATCCTTATATGTTTCGGTAGAGGTCATGCCCAATCTAAAATACACTACTACAAAAAACACTCATGATGCACTACTAAATAGCTGTTTTCCCCCTTCTTACTCATGGCACTCACAAACCTCCTAGGTTGCATGCAAGTTATTTTAAAAGGTAAGTTCAGAATTGTGCCACAGGACCTTGAAAAGCATCTCGCTGTTCTTCTGTAGGGGTGACGGGGTTCATGCTAGCACTGGAAGTTTCGTTATTCAATAATAAATAGCAAAAGTCACAAAACCTAATGTGGCTTTCTAAAAATTTGGTGATGCGAACTTCGGCGTAGAATGCTTTTCAACAGATATGAAACCCTATCTTCTGAGAATCTAGCAGCTTTCTCTGCTAGATCCTTTATTTAGGAGGATAAGCCATTTAAATACTGAAATGAAACACGTCCTGAAATTCAAATATAATTAACAGGCACTATTAACAGAAAAATGCTGAAATGCAAAATTTCAGTACGTGCTGCAGCACTGTTTGAGAAACAGTCTAGAGTTTCTGAGATGAGCTGGCAGCCAACAGACTTTATGGAGTTGGGGCAGAGAAGGATATTAATTTGGGAATGTGGTTCTATGATTCATTGGCACCAATCATTAACATTCCTCCTTGCCAAGAGACACCCAAAGGGAGAAGAAGGGCTGGGGCTCCACAGGGTAGGTGGGTGTGAGCCAAGAGGCTGCCTTCAGGTCCACCTTGTGAGCAACTGACTATAGAAGGTGAGAGCCGCCAATGACTCACAGCGCTTCACATAACAGGTCCGAATTAAATGTGGAAGCTTGGAATCCAGTGACACGAAACCACTCCACATAAATGCCCAAGCTCATGAGTGGTTTAAAACAAAGGCTTTTGAACTGCTATGGGGCATCCTCAGGAGGGCCCAAAAAGTCATAAGTGTGTTTGCAACTGTTTCACATGCATGACGCACATAAGAAGGGAGCGGGGCTTCATCAGCATGGGCAGGCCCCCTCCTGAACAGGACCCAGAATCTGTGGCAGCATCTCTCTTCTCACACGCTTGTAGCTGTTTAAAAATCAGTGTTACAGCTACAACAGTTTAACAGCCTACATTCTGAAGATGGCACCACCCCTCCCAGCCACAGAAACGCTAACGATTCAAGCTCATCTCCAGAATAGAAGTGTGTTATTTACTGCCACTTATAATGAGTTGCACGAAGCGAAACGTGCCTGAAGATGATCATCCTGGCCTAAAACACCAGATGCATCTTCTGCTCAAGAACTAGGCCTTCCTGAAACGGGTTCTATGCCCTTCAGAGGCAGAGGGGAAAAGGGGACCAAGCAGAAATACCTGGTAATACCGTCAGCCAAGCAGAATGATGTGAAAAACCAATAGAATTCCCAGCCAGGCAAGTGTATTCCCCAGCGTCCTCAAAAGTAACATTGTGCAAGGACAGAATTTCTAGCTCTTTATCCGTTTTGTTAACACCCGCTGTCTACAGAGGAAAGAACAAAACAAAACAGAGATAGGAAAGGAAGGAGGAGAACAGGATAAGCAAAATTCCCAGAAAAGGTAACCCAGACAAATTTCAAAAGCAGATGGTGATCTGAAGTGCCTGTGGCCTGTTCCGGTCCCCTAGCACAACCAGATGTCTGTATCCAAAGCACCAGCTCCCTTCACCAGGCTCTTACTCTGTCCCACTAAAGATGCATGCAGGCCAAAGCGTCTGATGAAAAATTCCCTCCACAGAATGACTGTCTCGTGGTCAGGAGGGTGAGGATGGAGACTGGGCGGCAGAGAGAAGTGAAAGAGAAGGCGCCGAGACAAGCAGTGAGGATTAAGACGAGTGGGGCAAGTTAAACGTGGTTTTCAAAGAAAAGCATTTCATGTTTTACGTTAGAATTCATCCAGAGATTTCTCCATCAAGAAATCCCTTGCTCACCTATTCCCGTTGGGAAGGTTTCAGTGCCTTTCCTTGCCCATTTTTGGAAAAGCGCTGAAAATGGGAAAGGAGCTCAAAACGTGTGGCTTTTGTGACTAAAGGTTTCCTCCCTTGCCAATGCGAACGCCTGCTACAGAAGCGAGCGGGATGAATCACGAGAGGAGGAGGCAGAAAACTCAAGAAAACAAAGAGCCAGTTAATAACACAATAGGGAGGAAGAGAAGTTGAAAAGACAGTCATTAATGTGGGAATTTTTCTTAGCAAATGATTCATAAAGCATTTCGTTATTCTAAAAGTTAGAAAAAGTGAAAGTCATTATCTCAAGCATCAGGGGAGAGGAGAGAGAACAAAACGGCCAGCAGCTGAATCTGTTGCAGCTCATTCGTGCAGCTGCGAAGCCTCTGGGACAGAGTTGAGGGATTACCTGGTTCTGGTTTGTGAATGTGGAGCCAAAATGATTTTTCGGCTCTGCCTACGAAATTGTTGGCTCTACAAAGATATTCGCCTTCATCTTGTTTTGTCACATTGAATAGATTTAGGTAAACATCAGCTTCAGGATCTTTACTGATCCAAGACTGCAGAACAGACAGAAACCTGAACTTCAGTAAACCGAACAATCTCTCTCCATCACACGTTAGACAGACAGGGCTGATTAGCTGTTCCTATGCTTTGTCTTTTGGCAGAACTATAATGTTGGAAGAAGACAGCTTCTTCTCAGTGCAGGAGTCCAAATTCAGGGCTCTCAGAGAGAAGGCTGCTGAGCCTCTGCTTGGACATATCCAGGGAAGAGGAGCCCACTGGTCTCACCGCCAAATTGCTTTTGCTCCTACGAAAATCCCCTTAACATTTAACTGGAATCTGCCTTCCAATCACTTGAATCTGTTTTTTTTTCAAATGCTGCACTCCAGCATGAGGGAGAACAGGTCTTGGCCTTCTTCTTTGACAGATCCCCTCAGGTATCTGAAGAGGGCTATCCTAACCCCCTCCATCTTCTCTTTCCAAGGCTTAACAGGCCCAGCTCAACTCCTTCAATCTCTTCTCACACCAATCAATTTCTAACCCTTTGATTACCCCCATTGGCTTTCTCTAAACCTGTTCCAGTCTGCCTTAATCCCTCTTGGAGTGTGGTGAACAGAACTGGACACAGTATGTAAAGAGGGGTCTGACCAGTGCAGAATAAACTTAAAAACAGTATTTCTATTGCTGCACCTGAGAATCATATTTACCTTTTTTGCAGCCACATTGTAATTGGCTCATGCTCAATTGGCATTTATTATTCAAAACTCTCTTACAAATACTATTATCAACTCAGATATCCCTCATCCTATACTTGTTTTCTAACATTGTTCAGAAGCTTCCCAATGTTAGTTGGTCTATATTAAATGGTCTGTGGATCTTCCTTTTTTTGAAGATAAAGGACATTTGGTATTCTCCAACATATTTCTATATTCAGAGATCATTTCATCCATGGACCAAGTGAGGGAGGCCAGCAAAACACTGTAATGGCTCTGCTAAGGAACTACATCCAGTGTCTTTGCAAAGCAATCTCCGCTTATTGCTTGCATGAAAATTGCTCTTGAGTTAATGTGAAGGTCCTTTTGGGAAGGCTATAGTGCTGGGAAACAGCTGCCCCACCTATGCAAACAATTCTTACGTCAATCCTGGGTGGTGATCCAGTGTTATTATCTTCCCTATTGCAAAGCCTGACAACCAGTAGTGTCCTGAGTGTGCCAAATAGTTTCGTGATAGAGCTCAGATTTATATTAAGCCTTTCCCAATTTCTGGTTCTGTCTCTCAGATACTGTCATACAGTCAGTTCCTCTGCAAGATTAAACCCTGTTTTTTTCAAAAAAAATTTCAGCACATATCAAGGGTAATCTGGTAGTGGGTTGTTATGAGTGATTTCCTGTAAATACTGCTCTCTCTAGTAGGTTACAGACTTAAAAGAGTTGTGTAGCTATGCACCAACCTTTAGGACGGAAACATAAGGAGTCCCATCTGGCCCGTATTTGCTTCCGTTGACTTCCACATGTTTCAACCACTGGATGTGAGGTTGAGCATCACTGTATACTTTGCAGTGGAATTCGACGTTGCTCCCAACCACCACGGTCTGATTAGCAGGCAATCCTGCCTGGAGAATAGGACGGTGGGGTGATCTTTCTGTGGAAAGGAAATGGGGTTTACTTAATATGGGTCATCTGTAATATCAATTGCTCTACGTAGCATTTGTCCAATAAAAGCTTCTTTTTACCACACCACAATGCTGCTAGCTTCTGTATGAGGCCTATATAACCATACTACTGATGTGTGATATAATATTTGTGTGCGTAAGCTATTGCTCAATTTCTTTATTAAATGTGGAAGCTACACTGTTGACTGAAACTCTGGCATGGAAACTGCAAAATACATTATTGCCTTGCTCAATCTGGCTTCATAAACGGACCACAAGCTTCACCTATCATCACCTATCATCAATATATTAGAAATCTAATAAAGAAAACAGGATGTGGCAAACCTCTTTGAAACAGTGTAGATTTAATTTTTGGAACGTGTTTGGTGAGACGTGGTTTTCTCTGGTTTTTATTAGTTGGATTAAAATGCGGTATCTTAATTCATCAACTGGAAAGACTACAATTGGATTTATCTCTTCATCTATTTAGATGTCTCATGGAATTCAATAAGGATGTTCTTTATCTCATCTCATATTGAATTTGGCATTGGAACTGCTGACCTGTTTTAGTAGAGAGTCAAAGGAAATTTGGGGTATAAAATTGCAGCCACAGTGGAACCTAAACTGCTATTATATGCAGATGGGAATTTGGGTCTTACTAACAATGATCAGAATTCTTTGCCTAAATTTGTGGATATTGTTCTGCATCTCAGTAAATTATCAATTCAATAAATTGTAGTAGATTTAATATGCTTCCAGATCTAGAGTATCTGAGGAAACTTGTAAGAAATGAACATTTTTTAAAATTTTATGAATCCTCTTTAATATCTCGGAATAGCTCTCTATTTTGTTGTCTTTAACACCCTAAACTGATTAATTCAAACATATTGATATAAATAGCTTATATGGAGTAATAAAAATAGTTAAATATAACATCTGGATTGATACATATATTCGGAGTAATCTCTATGTTAATTCCTCTTCAATATTTTAAGCAAATTGATAAGATATTGAGCAAGATTTTATGGGTCAGATCTTCCCACTCAGTTTTATCTAAATTGTTACTTCTATATGAAGAAGGGGTTTCAAAAACTATTATACTGGAAAGTTATTATCTGACCTCCAAACCAGTTTACTGCTAATAATTCTTTCAAGTCCCAGTGCATTGCAAAAAGAATCTGTCATGTGCAAATTTGCCAAAGGATAATATAAAGCAGTTTTTGACTTCATCAGTTTCTGAAACTCCAAATGATTTCATTGGAAAAGGTTTTATAAAATGTTAAATATGTCTCTTATGATCTTAATATGAGACTAATTCATCAAAAGAGGCTTTTCCATGTTTATTGGATACCTTAGTGGATGTTTAAGAAGAGTTGGGTGTCAAACATTTTATGCCGTATTTGTAATACAGCTGAGGGACTCTGACACGTGTATTCAGCTTGTAGTTCCATTTGGGGCTGATTCAAATCAATGTTAATGTGATTTTGTAAAGAAAAATAAGAGGCAAAGATGTTAATGTGATGATGAATTATATGCTGAAAACTTGGAATTTGTGGATTATGAAGGAGTTTGCATTTATCAAGCATGGAGTGTAGCTAAAAAGATGGTTCTTTTTTGTTGAAAAGAAGTAACTCCAGACTCAAAATCTTAAACTGAAGATATGTGTTCACATTTGTCTTTGAATTTGCTGTTTACTAATGAAATGGAAACATTGATCAATATGATTGGTAAGGGCAAGGTTGAATTTGTTGTTCAAACATGAACATCATGTTTCTACTGTAATACAGGTAGTCCTTGGTTAATGATGGCAATTGGAACTGGAATTTCTGTTGCTAAGGGACGTGGTCATAAAGCACAATGTCACTGACTGTGCCACCTAGCAACAGCAAGTCCCTGGTTACCATTGTTAAACGAATCACTGCAGGTCATTAAGTGAGGACCTCACATGACCATGACTTCCGACTTCCTGCCAGCTTCCCAACTGACTTTGTTTGTAGGAAGCCAGCAGGAAGGTTGCAAATTGTGATCATGCGACTGTGGGATGCTGAGATGGTCGGAAATATGGGCTGCGTTGGCCGTAACTTTGAGGACTGGTTGTAAGTACCACTCATTCGGCACTGTCATAAGTTCAACTGGGTGGACATGAAGCAAGGACTACCTGTATGTGAAGTTTTTAAAATTGTATGTGCATTATTTTTTTAGGGATTCCCCCCCACCCCTTTTGGGATAGATAGATACATACAGTACTTTTTCATTTTTTGCTACCTGCCTCCAAATTCTAGCTTAAATCTGAGGCTGAAAGGAGATTAGTGTACTGGATTCCAGTCTCTTTCATCCAACCCATTTTCCAACTGTTTTCTCTTTAGAAGTGGAGTAGTTGAGAGGAATTCCTTCCTCCCTCAAGAGGATGTAGCTGGGGCAGATGGGGAACAGCTGGCACCACATGATTCTTGGATACAAAGTTTAAAACAACACTTACCAAGAACATCAAGTTGGTAAGTATGCCAAATTACACCATATTTGTTCTGGACCACACAGGTGTAGTTTCCTCGGTCTGATGGAACAACACTCTCCATGACAAGACTCCACTGCTGATGCCGCAGCTGCCAAAGGAAAAGGAAGATCAATATAAACTTGCCTTGTTCCTTCAGAAAAGGACTTACCATGAAAATCCTTTTTCTAAAACAGAGATGTGTGGTATACAAGAGTGGGTATCTCTCCCCCACATGCTCCAGAAGCAGAGCTAGAAGTGTGAGGTTTTTTCAGGTGGGAAGAAATATCTCCTTCCCCAGTTTCAGAATGACAAGCCAATGCAAAGAACATGAAAATGTGGTGATAAAGGAAAGGTATAGTACACAATGTACATTTGGTCGCAAAGAGTGATGTGGTCCCCTTTCTCCTTCCTTGTCTAGTGCCTGGGCAGACCAGATACCTTGCTTCCATTGTAGAAGAAGGATCTTCATAGAAAGAAGTCCAATCTACCATTTTCCTACAGTGGACCCAGGTCATCCTAGGATGGGAGATGCCATGCCATGCCATGCCCTGCCCTGCCCTACCTGTTCCTATAGACTATCTTGCTGCTGCTTGAAGCAACAACATTCTGCAATTCCCTCTTGTTGAAAGAAGCTTCAGCCAAAGTATAATAATTAAGCTTACAGTGCTTTTTAAAGAACACAGTGGAGCATGTGGGATCCCATCTGTGGCTGCACTTTTAGTGAAATAGGTTCCAAATCCTTTTGTGCTCCATAGGCTAGTCTGATCATGCAAGCTGTAATTCATCTGGAGATCATGATTGATGCAGCCTAGATGAGGCTGTCAGAAGGAGCCTAGGAGGCTGTCTGCTTGGGTAGACCTTGGTGGCTCATCCAGTCTGCCATTTCCCTTTATATGAGTCTTCAGATTGAGCTAGAAGGAAAGGAAGATACTTCCTGTCTCTGGGGAAAGGTCAAATTCACCTTAGGCATGAAGGCTGGGGTTAGGTGACGACTGATATGTAAGGCTGGATGATACAACTCTTTTGGCTGAAAATGTTCTTATTTCTGACATCTGCCTCTTGGAAGTTATGGCTATGAGGACTGAGGCGCTTTCCATTTCAGGTGCTCTAACCTTATGCATGGGTCTGAATGGGGCATGAAGCATTAGTTTAAGGTCCCATGATGGAAACTGATGGACAGTGGATGATCTTAGTACAGAAGGTACCTCTTAGCAATTTTCTGATGTGAGGGTGGACCAAGAGAGGCTCACTGGTCCCAAGTGTAAGAACTGAAGAGATGGGTGATCTGGGGATGCTTGGTGGGGTCCCTCCTTGAGGTCCTCATATAGGATATCTTTCCTTTTGGTCCATCTGTCAAATGCTCACCATATGAGCTTGTATATGCAAGTGATGAAAGCTCTTCGGGATGCTAGAGTAGTCTGTATGTTGTTCGTTACATTTTAGATAATGAGAGGCCCTGCACATTATGCAGACATTTAGTTGCAACCAATAGCAATCTGGATGTTCAAATATCTTTTGACTCAACACAAATGGTGATGCTGCGAGGTTCCATGATCAGGATATCAGCAAGTTGGCCAGGTGTCCTGAGACAGTTGGGTGCTGTTACTATCAAGTCCACTGTGTGATTTCGCACTAGTTTCAGAAGCCTGGGGATTAATGGAAAGGGACAGGGTAGGTCTTTGGGCCAGGTGGCACTGAGCATCTTGCCTCAGCTTCTTGAATTGGGAATCATGAAATGAATTACTTGACCTTGCAATTGGCAGAACTGCACCAAGGACTCCATTGGCAGAATCGCTAGGAAGTCATCACGGACCTCCTGAAGGTTGATATAATTTGCACACTCTGCGATTGAGGCTCCATTTGTTGGGGTTCAAGTCCTTGTGGATGAGCTAGTCTGCCACTGTGCTGTGGATTCCACTGGATGTGGTGTACTGTGAGAGATCACTGTGTATTATTTTCCTCAGCCCAACTTAGCAACTTATTATCATACTTCATCACCAGTATTGATCTGGTAGCTCCCCTCCTCATCTTGACAGCTTGAAGGAGGCCTTTGGGGGAGGAGTAGGGGGAGAGGAGAATGTGAAGCAGCACCATTTTCCCCTTCCCTTCCCTTCCCTGGGGAGATATTTCCTGCTGTCATTGTTCCTCTGGGTGACCAAGACATACCATGGCCTTCCTCAGGCATCTCTGGAGAGCAGACGGCTACAAGGCTGAGGTGTTTGGAGGAGATAAAATACATGGAGGAGCCAGATGAAAAATTGGAGGCCGCTCTTCTCGTGGCAGTGGTAATCAGGTGCTTGGCACTGCCAGGTTCTATACCACAGAGTGCCTAAATCATCTGGCTCCTCAGAGGAGTGCTGATGGGCCCCTGGGCAGCTGTAAATGATTTGGCAATTACAGCACTGGCTGGTGTCTCCTGTGGAGAGTGTGACGGGACACAGGAGGGTGTGTTGAAAATGCCACTGGAAATCAGATCTATGACTTGGGTCCAGAGAGGTCCTCTGATTTATCTCGGAGCACCAGCTGCTGTCCAGGCACTTGGTAGAAATACTGGAAATCCAGAAGAAAAGAAGATGCAAAGAAAAAATAGAAGCAGCAAAAATCTCTGAGGTTGATCCAACAGGCCTGTGTGCTTTTAGGAACAAGGCAGACCTGGAACCAGGAAAGGAGATGTTTCTTCAAACATTTTCTAGCTGTGCTTCTGGATTAAGCAGGAGAGAAATACTTACTCTAGGAAGCCCTGTCTCTGCTGTGGGGAAATGAGCTGACTTCTGGGAAAAGAAAGGGCTTTCTTGAACCTTTAGATTGCAAATGCTGATAACTAAAAGAAGGATCAAGGAATCTGATGAACTAAGGTGAATGATGAACTGCTTGTATGTTTAAAAACTTTGCAATAGAAAGTTATACATTTAGAGCTAGGTTAAGATAGGACCTCAAAATCACTACAAAATAATTTCTTATATCAAAACAGTCAGGAAGGGTTGTTTTATCACCCAGAAAAATTATTTTAAAGCTACTTAATCTTCAGAAAGTGACTTTCATGTCTGAAACACAGTATTGGTTTGGACAGAGTATAAGGAAATCAGATCACATGAGCAAATTCTGCATGCTGGAATTTTTAGTAATTTGTGTTCTAAAATTATTATTATTTACCAGAATTAAAGCATTATATTGAAACTAATGTTGTAAACCAGAGAAATTGCTTCACTAAAGGTCCAAATCTCATGAACTTTAAGACTGCAAAAATAAATGGAAATCTTGTAAAAATTAGAATGTGATGCAGTAGTGTGGGTTTACTTTACTCTCATGATTTAGGAAACTTTTCTTGAAATGACTAAGGAAAAAAGTATGTTTCTGAGCACCCACTGAGAAGAAATGTTGCCTAGTATTGCAAGGGGTTTTATGACATGCAGCATGCAAACATTTTATCATCCAGACTATGGCCCCTCATTTGCATCATAAGAATATTAACTGTGCAAATATGTTAATGAACATCCAACAGCATTCTGGCACATCCATAATAACTATGTGTGTTTTCTTGAATGATACAACCAAGTGGATGCAAATTATGACATCAACTACCATACTTTGGCTAAGTTGGATTCAAGTTAGAAAACTTAATACTAACATTCAAGTAGGTTCACACTAATACACACTACGTAACAAAAAATATATACATAAGCATTAAATATATCATTTTCTTTGTACATCAACATTCATTACTGGTATAACCTCTAGGTCTAATTTACAAGTTTCTAAGGCATCTGGTGCATTTCAAAAATAATGCCCAAGCAACTCGTCAGCATATTGAGTTTCAATATGAAAATGAGTGGATCCTACACTCATTTATCCTATAAAGGCTCTTCTGTCACAGAAAAAGGAAGGACAGCTCTGAGAGTGCCAACTCCGGATCTTAAGCAAGGTGGGTGGTCAGCAAACACCACCCACAAATGATGCCCTACTTTAATGCCTCCAATACGGTGCTCTCCTTTGAACTCTCTGCCATTCTTCAGCCAGTATATGGAAGGAAGGGGCTTGCCAGCAGATGGGCACCGAAAACGAACGGTATTAGCAGCAGGCACAGCCAAAAGCTTCTTTTCCATTCTGTCGCGATGGGTCCAATAAGGTGCAACTACAAACATAAAGCAGAATGATAGGAGAGGTCAGATGGTAAGGACTGTAGGTCGTCAACTGCTGAACTAGTGGTTCTAATCCAACCAGCTATGTATCAGGGATGGGCTTCTAAAGGTAACTGAACAACAGCTTTCAGAACCAAAGGATGATGGGAGTTTGGAGGATGACACACCACCCATCCTTATGTACAATGACTTCTCCCACGTGTGCAATTAAGTGTAGGATGAAGAGGAGGAGAGAAAGTTTGTGAATGCAAAGACAGCCACTTGAAAAGCCAAAATCACAGAAAACAAGCTGACTTTTTTCTTTTTAGCGTTGTTACAAACAAGTGGGTGAACAGTAAGTTCACTCATGTGGAGAACTGGTTAAAGCCAAGAAGACAAGTCAGCTCATTCAAAGATAGCATCACTGCATCGCTGGTGCTGAGTTGCAGACAACAAACAAATAAAAGCTGACGATGCAGGCCGTATAACTGCCTTGCTCATACCAGGAAGGAGAGTTTTCAGCGCAAAGCTGGGTGGCACTGGCTCACAAGTCCCATTTTTGCACCCCAACAGTTCCCTCTATCCACGATGGCTGAAAATCAAGAGACAGTTTTCTCTCATTTTGAGGGAAGAAGGACACTGAAATAACTTAAAGTTGGTTAATACAAAGAAAAGCTCCAAAACTTCCCACAAACAAGGAATAAAATAAAATATTGACCTTGCTACTGTAATCCTTGGTACCCCAAAATTATTAGATATGGTCCCTAGCCACCAAAGGGCTGACCATGTCTTCTCTTTGCAGGTACCTTCAATTGTCTAGTAGAATTCTTCTGATTAAACACTGTGGTGAAAGCCAGTTCAACATCATTACGGACTAGTGGGCAATATCTATGAAGAGACCATGATACTGAGAGGAGCAAATGTGTTGAATTCTACAACACAGCCATGAGAAATGACAGAAGTACTAACTTCTGTTGTCATACAGGACTCCCACTGAAAAGAACAAGGATACCATGGCTTGGGTGCAAGGCTAGTTTGTATGGAAAAATGCTCCTGTCAACTCTGGTGCAAAAAGGAGCCCTCTTAAATTTTGGCAAGTTGACCAAAGTCTCAACTTTGGGAAGTGTTACATTAGAAACAAGGAAGCAGGAGGGCTATTGTGGCCAAAGGGAGAAATTCCACATTTGTGCTACAGTCCTCAACTTTCACATTCTGTCTAAACCATTATCAATGTATGTATTTAAGAAGCTGTCTCCATCAAAAGGGAGATCTGTACCATGGAACATCAGCTTTGGGCCAGATCTCCCAACCTGAGTCAAGCATAATAATAAATTGTCTTCCTTCAGTCAAGAACTTGAAGCAAAGCTTCTTTGCGAGACTAGGTTTTTACCTCAGAGATCTTCTGGATGGTTGTCTAAGAATGAAGCAACTTTTCCCAGAAGTATGGGCAATGCACCATACAAACTTGATAGTTTTTGTGCTGTCCCTCTTAGCTAGCACAGAATAAAATTTCAGGCTGGAATTTCAAGTGAAAAGCTGATACTATAATCAAACTGTAATCATATTCCTGAGTGAACCCCATTGAGTTGATAGAAGTAAATAAGCAGACTGAAGCATTCCCTTCTTTATCCCTTGGTGACCAAAGCTGAATCTCAGATGATGGACGAGAAATGTGACCTTCTTGGGGTCAGAAGATCATGGTGTGGAGCCATCAGCTGAAGGGGGCAGCTAATCTGCTGAGTTGGCTTCAACAGTCCCAACAAAGAAAATGATTGGGGCAGCTATAATTACTAGCAAGAGATCTAGCTGTGAGATTTGCCAATTAATAGTAAATTCAAAGCACAGGCCCAAAGCAATTTCATGGGATGCTGGAGTTTGAATGATCAGCAAACTCCATGGTACATTCCCACAATGAGCTCAAAGCCACAAAGATTAGTTTTGCCAGCTGGACAAAATGCTGACAACATGGACACATCTGGGCAGTATGTCTCCCGCCCAATCAGAAGAATAACATAAAATGCCATCTACAGCTGAAAATTTAGGACCATGCAACATATATTTTCTGAAGCCAATCTTCTGGCTAGAAGCCAACAGGAAAGACAAGGGGGAAAAAAGGCACCTAAAACATCTGTAGATGTTTAACAAAAAGTTAAAAAGAACAGAGAGAAAGATGACTAAAATAAGAAAAACACACTCAACTCAGTGAGAACACTTCAGAGACGACCTAGAAAATACTCAAGGAGAATTTGGAAGCCATTCCTTCCCAAAATCTTAGTTCTAAAACAAGGATGGGCAATTCAGAGTTTGCATATGGCCTCCAGTACCCCAAGATCAGGCTTCCAAACTCGGCTTACAAAATGGCCTGAAAATGGCATTTGGGGCCTTGGTGGCAGTTTCAGGGGAGGAAGTGAAGTGTTTGCCCAAAGAGACCTCCTGTTCCCATTTTTATCCTTAACATCTCTCCCCAAAGCAGTTCCCAAATATTGGGAATGGTCCATCCAGTGGTGTTACCACCCTTCTGGAGATGTCATTTGTGGGCCTGAATCACAGTTGATGAACCTCCCAAAAGTTGTTCATTTACATCACCTCAAAAAAACAAAAAACAAAAAAAAGTATGGAAATTGAAGAGAAAAGCAAGGAAACAGAAATATTAATTTCTAAGAGTGCTTATGTGGAAGTTCACCAATGGTCAGTAGGCCAACATAACAAGTACAAACATGGCAAGAACAACTTCATTCATTGTAATGAAGTGTTGGACAGCTGGTTCACTACCGCCATCATTGGACTTGTGCACACACAGTTTCTGCTAATCCAAGTCTGCAACATCAACCTCAGGCTTTAGGTCATGTCGGTATATGACATGTATGCAATAACTACATATGTGTGCAATATGACAGTGCGATAATTCAGTCTGGGTGAACCAAGTAATTACATGGAAACATCTTGCAATGCCTAAATCTCGCAAAGTACCCTATCTCACTTGTTTTAACTAATCCCCTAGAAAGCCTGAGATTTTATGCTTGCATTCTTTAAAGGGATGTCAGACGGGTTGTACCTCGGAATCAATTTGTGTTTGAAATACCAGTGTATGAGCAAGGCAGACCACAATCATATTCCTTAAATAGTCAGTGCCTCTTCTTGCCATTTTTGCACACATTTGTTGTTAAATGACAAACCTTTCTCCAGACTAACACTGCCCAGAAAGATCTGTGAAGAGACTAATGCAGTGTTTCTCAACCTTGGCAACTTTAAGATGGGTGGACTTCAACCCCC